GTTTTCTCAAGGTCTATGAAGTATGCTGCTGGGATCTCAATTGGAATTGCATTAAATCTATATAGCAGTTTTGGAAGTATGGCCATTTTCCCTTGTGCTCTTTCTAAACCTTTCTCCCCAAGTGCCCTGCAGGCTGCCCTTTGCAGGAGGCTGTAGCTGCAGCAGTGCAACTTTTCTTCTCCACACTCTTCCCAAGGGATCTCATTCACTTCCTTAGTCCCAGTGACCCTCTCTGGTCACAGATTCACGTTTCAGGCCTGATTGTGCCTGAGCTCCAGCCCTGCATTGTCATTGCTGGAGGACACCTCTTCCTTAATATTCTACCTCAGACTCCGAATTAACCAAAACTGAATTTTTCTTCCCTCCAAACCTGTCCTGACTCTCTGTTCCCTGTTTTTTGTGAATGTGTAGTAGTATGTGTATGTGCTACTGGGGATTGAGCCCAGGGCCTTGCATTTGCTGGGCAAGTACTCTACCACCTAGATGTAATTTTGTAAAATTTTGAGACAGTGTCTTGCTAAGTTGCCCAGGCTGGCTTCAAACTTGTGATTCTTCTGCCTCAGCTTCCTGCTGCAGCCTCCACAGTATCTGGGATTAATAGGCATGTGTCATCACCCTAGCTCTCAGCTGTGTTCCGTAATTCTTTCCCTCTCTTTTTCTGCCATACTGGCGATCCAACCTATGGCTTTGTGCATGCTAGGAAGTGTGCTGCCACTACCTATACCCGGCTGTGTTTCACTTCTGTTGGTACCTGTTGTCCTCCTCTTTCCCTGGCTAGGAAGTCATTTTCTATTCCTCAGCTAAGTCCTAATGACTCCAGCTCTCAGTGGCTCTTATAATCATCCCTTTCCCTCCTCTCACTGATGTCAGTTAAAGCCTTTATCTTCTCTAATTTTGATAACGACAGCCAACCTAATAACTGCTCTCCAGCTTCGCTTCCTGTTTTGAAAACTTTTCACTACACTCTTTATTTGGCTTCTGTCTGTACAGGACCCTTCAATATCTGTGAAGAAATGACTATTCTGCATGGGGGCTTCTTGCTGGCTGAGCAGCTGTACTGCCCCAAAGCACTGGCAGAATTGATAAAGTCTGACTGGGAACATGTTGGGCAGCCCATTGTGGAGGCCTTGAGGGAGATCTGCTCGGCCACAGTACATTCCCAGCCGCTTGCCTGGAAGAAGAAAGCTCTGATCATCATCTGGGCCAAGGTTCTTCAGCCCTGCCCTCTTACTCCTCTTGACACTGAAACTCGGTGGCAGGAAGATGTGTTCTTCTCTGTGGGCAACATGATTCCTACTATCAATCATACAGTGCTTTTTGAGCTGCTTAAGTCTTTGAAAGCTTCTGGACTCTTCGTCCAGCTCCTGATGGCCCTGCCTACCACCATCTGCTGCACAGAGCTAGAGCGCTTTTTGGAGCACATGACTATTGACACTTCTTCCAAGGATGTGGCCTTCTTCCTTGATGTGTGGTGGGAAATGATGAAACACAAAGGCAATCAGCAGGATCCCCTGCTGTCTCACTTTAGAATCATGGCCCATAAGTACTTGTCTTCTTCAGATGAGTTCTCCCATCCTCCAAAGAGGTTTAAGTCAGACCCAGATGTGTGTCCAACCTTGCCTCTGTTGGCCATGTTGCTTAATGGACTGAAGCAAATCCAGAAGAGAATCCTGTGCCTTGAGATGAAGTGCTGTGCATTAGCCAACTTGGCTGACATGCTGACTGTGTTTGCACTGAGGGAGGATGACCCCCAGGAAGTGTCTGCAACCATGTATCTAGACAAACTGGCCACAGTGATCTCCATGTGGAATTTAGACACCCAGAACCCATACCACCAACAAGCTCTGGTAGAGAAGGTAAAGGAGGCAGAGCGGGATATCAGCCTGACCTCACTGGCCAAACTACCCAGTGAGACCATTTTCCTTGGGTTTGAGTTCATGCACAGCCTGCTGCAGGAGTGGGGTGAGGAGCTGCAGGTCCTACTCAACAGCATCCAGGGGATAAATTACGATAGCTACCGGCTATGTGACAGTCTGACCTCTTTCAGCCAGAACTTGAAGCTATACCTGGATACCACCAACTTGTCCAAGGAGGAGAGGCAGGTGGTCTCTGAATTGGCTGAGTGTGTTAAGGACTTCCTGAGAAAAACCAGCAGGGTGTTGAACAACAAGGGCTTTGAGGACATCACTGCCTCTATTGCCATGGCCATTATTGAGCAGAAGATGGACCGGCACATGGAAATGTGCTACATTTTTGCTTCTGAGAAGAAATGGGTCTTCACAGATGAGTGGGTGTCCTGCCTGGTTAATAACAGGGCTCTCTTCCGAGAGCCAGACTTGGTTCTAAGGCTCTTCGAGACAGTCATGGAAGTCAGCATGACAGACAGAGCCATTCCCCAATCCCAGATCAAACAAGTGATCAGCTTGATCCTGGTGTGCTATGCAGATCTCTCACTGCTAGACAAAAATAAAGTGCTCTCAGGTGTCCTGCATTGTTGGGGGCGAAAAGGCCTCTCTGAAAGGTTGTTGCCTTACTTGGAGAGTTTTCAGGAAGACCTCAATACGATGTTCAACCAGCTCACACAGAGTACCTCTGAACAGGGCTTGGCTAAAGCGGTAGCCTCTGTGGCCCGCCTGGTAATACTGCACCCAGAAATCACAGTGAAGAAGATGTGCAGCATAGCTGTGGTCAATCTTGGCACTCAGAGGTTCCTAGCTCAGATTCTCACTGCCTTCCCTGCCCTTAGGTTCACAGAAGAGCAAGGGCCAAATCCATCCACCACTTTTGTGGTGTCATGCCTCAGAGAAACTGTCTGGACAAAGTTCTCTACACCCAAGGAAGAAAAGCAGTTTTTGGAGCTCCTAAGCTGCCTTATGAGTCCTGTGAAGCCCCAAGGGATTCCAGTTGCTGCTCTTCTTGAGCCAGATGAGGTGCTAAAGGAATTTGTCCTGCCTTTCTTGGCACTGGATGCTGTAGAGGTAGACCTAAGTCTGAAAATCTTCATCCAGACTCTAGAAGCAAATGCAGGCCTAGAGGAATACTGGCTCCAGACCTGTTCTCCATTCCCCCTCATCTTCAGCTTGTGTCGGCTCCTAGATAGCTTCAACAAGTACTGGCAGCTCCCTCAGGAAAAGCGGTGCCTTTCTTTGGAGGGGAAGGATCTGGTGATCCACATCCTGGAGCTCCTCTGTGAGATTGTATTAGCAAATGCTGAGACATTCTCCCCAGACACCTGGATCAAGTCCCTGTCCTGGCTCCACCGGAAGTTGGAGCAGCTAGACTGGACAGTGGGCCCGAGGCTGAAGAACTTTTTTGAGGGCCACTTTAAATGTGAGGTGCCAGCCACACTTTTTGAGATCTGCAAGCTTTCTGAGGCTGAGTGGACCTCTCAGGCCTACCCAGGGTATGGGCCTGGCACAGGGCTTCTTGCCTGGATGGAGTGCTGCTGTATCTCCAGTGGGATCTCTGAGCAGATGTTCTCTCTCCTAGTGGTGGATGTGGGCAATCCTGAAGAGGTCAGATTGTTCAGCAAGGGCTTTCTGGTGGCCCTAGTGCAAGTCATGCCTTGGTGCAGCCCCCAGGAGTGGCAGTGCTTTTACCAGTTGACTAGGAGACTATTAGAGAAACAGCTCCTGCATGTCCCTTATAGCCTGGAATATATTCAGTTTGTTCCCCTGCTCAACCTGAAGCCCTTTGCCCAGGAGCTTCAACTCTCTGTACTCTTCCTGAGAGCTTTCCAGTTTCTCTGTAGCCAGAGCTGTTGTGATTGGCTTCCTATGGAAGGGTGGACCCATACAGTCAGACTCCTCTGCGGGAGTTTGACCAACCTCCTGGACGCAGTAAGGTTGATTCAGCCAGTTGGCCCTTGGGCCCAAGGACAAGACCAGGACCTGACCCAGGAAACCCTGTTTGTTTATACCCAGGTGTTCTGTCATGTTCTGCATATCATGGCCATGCTCCCCCAAGAGGTCTGTGAGCCACTCTACGTGTTAGCCTTGGAGGTCCTCACCTGCTATGAAACCCTGAGCAAGACCAACCCTTCTGTTAGCTCCTTGCTCCAGAAGGTAAATGAGCAGCACTTCTTAAAGTCCATTGCTGAGAACATTAGCCCCAAGGAGCGACGCCAAACCCTGCTACAGAAAATCAGCAACTTCTGAGCTGTGTAGGTCAGAGAAAAGCTGGGCCCCAACATGGTGGTTCTGTAGGGGCTAAAGCTGAGCACAAGCTTTCCAGTTATATCAGATTATACACAAGATAAAAGGCATATGGCAATAACAGTGTAAAAATAGTTTGTTTAACATACAAACAACATACAAACTAATAAAAGTAACATACAAGCTAATAAAATTCTCTTGTCTTGAGTCCTGGCAATAGCTTGGGATTAAATACACTCTAAAATTGGATTTAGCTCATCTTTAAGATCAAACTGGGAGGAATATGTTCATAACTGAACTTCCTACCCTAGATTTTGGCAAATAAGCCCTAAAGTGGAACTACCTGAGTAGAAAAATATTACAGGGCGTGTTCATCCTTCAGGCTGGGGATGTAGCTCAGTGTGCCGTATCTGCCTGGTAAGCGCAAGGTCCTGAGTTCAATCCCCAGTACAAAAACAATTTGAGACCCTCTTCAAGAGTCATTTCAACATTTAATACTTTTTCATGAGGTGTCTTGGAAAGGCCAGAACTGGGAAAAGAATGTTCTAGCTCTGGCTCTATCTCTGAATGGCTGTGTGATTTGTGTTCAGGAGGCCTGCACCATTATACAGTGAAACAGCTGCACCAAGAAACAGGTAAGTGTTCTTGATGGATGACCTCAAGAATGTGTGTATGCCACAGGGAGGACTGCCATCCAGCCCCAACCTGGTCCATCTTGCAGACTGGGCTGTGCCACCAGGGCAGTTGAACACCTGAGATGTGCATAGAGGATGGGTATGGTTACCTTCTGCCGAGGGCTGGTTTGTCATGGTTTTGATGAATGAGTAGGATTAGGGAATGGTGCGTTCAGAGTGATAAAAAAAAAGAATTTAAGTGTGGGGGGGTGGGGCAGGGATTTAAAGTTTCTAGGGTATTACTATAAAATTATAACTGGTTGGAGATGGTATTTTGGAGACAAAGGAGAGAAAAGATGTCCCCATCGTTTGCATATCCACACCCTCATTCAAAGTGGGGCACTGCTCAAGTTCCCTCCTTTAAGCAAACTGCTTGGGGCTTCCATCTTCTGGTTCCTCCCTGAGTTTCACTTGTGAAGACAAGGCAAGGCCTAGTTACATGCCATTGGGCTTGATCCTGGGCACCTTCAGTGTATTTGTGGGACCTTGAACCAGCATATCAGTAAGGTATGACCAAGGCCTCCCTGGAAGCTGAAACCATTAACACACCCTTTCCCAGTTATATCAGCAGGAACTACAGCACATGACAGCCAGTCCACTTAGGTCACAGGATGGTTATTACAGGAAGTCATTACTGATACATTTCACAGATAAGTTGGGAAATTAGTGCAATTTAATCACCACATGGATGACCTGTGATAGTAAACAAAACTGTAAAACACAAAACCATACCGTTTTATGTTTTTTTAAATGGCACCTATTAAGATTCAAACAGTCAAAACTTGAGACACTGTTACATAATCATTCAGTCCTTTAAAATTTGTGGACAATGAATTAAAGGCACTTTAAAAATTCTAGTTTTACTACCACTTGAAAAGAAGTCCTGGCAGTAGAGTCTCTCAAACTCATCCTAGTTACAAGGAATGATTAGTGTTGACACCAGAAGATCCCATTTGCAAATGGGGGTGAAGGCTCTGATCCACAGGATCCTGTTTGCACATGGGGGTGAAGGTGGTGGTCCACAGGACATAATGGCTGCTCTCTTGCTCTCTGGCCTTCTGTGGGAAAATGGCAGTGTACTCAACATAGTAATGGGTTCTGGCTTATCAGGAGGCTCTAGGAAAAGGACTCTGGTCTAGGTGAGATGTCTCACACTTGTAGTATAGAATTCCATTTTTACTTCATGTGAAAAGCACATTGTCAGAGTAGTCACCCAGTAAATAGCTATTAAAACTATCATTTCACTTTGCCCCTATTGTTGTGGGGTTTTTTTGCTTTTTGAGACAGGATTTCACCGTGTACGTCAGGCTGGCCTTGAACTCAGTGGCCTTCCTGCCTCAGCCTCTGAGTGCTAGGATGACAGGCATATGGCACCACACCTGGCTTGCCCCGTATCTCCTATGCATGTGGACATAGGAAAAACTAGGCATGAAGGGTCATTAAAATGGGAATAATATTTCTGACTGCTTGCAGCAGGCTCATAACTTTGATTCTGGTCTTTTACTAAGTCAGCCTGCCAACATTGTGCTGACTTCTGTTGGCCTCCCTACCTATTCAAATGCTTCATGTTGCCAGCCCTTCCCACTACCCGTTGCCATTGAGACTTTTGAAACATGGGAATTCAATGTTGACACATGAATGACAGAATGAGGCAAAGAACTGTTAATGGACTATCTAGTAAACAATAAAAACTACATACCCACAGTGATCTTCCCAGGCCAACAATGCAAGAAGACATTGTAAGAACCAAGTCATCATCATTTGCTTCTGCTGGCCTAGTACTGTAGGTACTGCCCTGAGTAGTTGGACAGGTAGGTAGCCACCAATATAGGTGAGTGCCCAGACACTTAGCACTGTGGTCCACCAACCTCTGTGTCCCATGCTTCAACCTCCCAGAGCTCTTAAGACCCAAGGAAGGATCCCTGGGCTTACATTAAAACAACTTTGCTGCTAACAGAGAGCTGACAGCACCTAATAGCTGATAACCATAAAAAGTGCTTTTGCAAAAGGGCAGGTTAGAAGAGGGAGGTAATAGGAATATTTTTAAAGAAAAACTCAAAGCCATCACTTATCAATACCCAAAAGGCTGAGGCCACCTAGGGCACAGTTTGGTCCATGGAATACTGAGTGGAGGCGGCAGCTAATGTGAAGAGACACCCTCATTGGCCAACTTCTGGGGGCTCTTTAACCATCCTTTTTGTCTTGGGGAGTGTCAAAGAGTCGGAGTGCCTTCTTGCACAGCAAAGAGAACCAGTAGATCTGGGGAGAGATGAGGAAGGCATTGGCCACATTGCAGAAGAAAGGGATATTATATGGTACTTGGAGCAGGCTTAGTCCCTGATGTTGGCCATAGGACCAGTACATGAAGGGGAAAAGAAGGATCCGACAGCAAAAAAAGCTGGTCAGCGTGACGATTCCGTTCACCTTATACAAAAGGGTGTGCTGCTGTTTTCGCTGTCAAGGAGAAAGAGAACATGAGGTCAGTGAGGATAGGCCATTACATTATAGGCCTAGGGAATTACTAGCCCAAGGTTCACAGTGGAAAAGAACAGCAAGTGCATGTACTAATCAAGATCTAGGCTATCAAATTCCTTATATCTACACATGCATCTAGTGTTCTGACACTTGCAGAAAAGATTCCTGAGCACTGGTGCATTTATTTATGTCCATAGCCTCAGTTTTTCCAATAGTGATGTTGAGTTTGGCCTAAGCCATCCAGTGATAGAGTACAGGAACAATGGACTGGAGAAAAATCTCTGACTAGGGGAAAAATATAATGAGCAGTATCAAACTTGGGTCAAACCTACAATTTTACCTCCATTGGCTTGGATGACCACCTGACCTTTAAGTCTGTCAAAAGGTCTCCTATTCCATTATTCCTAGCATCAAGAGATTTCTCCAAACCCTACAGTCTCCAAAGGAAAAACAGCATCTGTTCCCTTCTTCACTATTTCTGCCATTTTGTTGATACATGCCTGAATCAGAACTCTGCCCAGTGACACAAATGGAGTGCTCAGTTCTGCTGTGAAGATGCAGCCAACAAAGAAGTCTCCAAGGTCTCCCCGGAAACTCTGTGGAAGAAAAAAGGAAAAACAGAAAGTGGAGGTTAAGAAACATTGGATAAGCCAAGTGTGGTGGCACACATCTAATCCCCCCCAACACTGGGAAGCTGTTTTTCATGGACTTGAAATCCTTCTGCTGCAAAGAAAAAAACAAAAAACGAAGGATTGCACATCTGAGCTCAGCTTGTGCAACTTAGCAATTTAGTGAGACCTTCTCAAAAATTAAAAATAAAAAGGGTTGGGGATATAGGTCAGTGCAAAGATCCCGAGTTCAATCCCCATGATAAAGGGAGAAAAGAGACCACTGGATATAGTCAGGAATGGTGGCACACCTCTAATCCCAGCTATCAGGAGTATGAGACAGGAAGATTGAAAGTTTGAGGCCAACCTGGGCAATTTGGAGAGACCCTGTCTCAAAAAATAAAAAGGGCTGGCTGGGGATGTAGCTCAATAGTAGATTACTTCCCTAGCATATAGCATACCCTAGGTTTAAACCCCCACACACACCCTCCAAAAAAGGAAAACAGTGGAGAGAAAAAATGCTAACTAGGCAAGTGTATATCCAGTTTAATATTCTCCTGCTTCCTTAACAATAGCACTTTGATGGTCCAATCCCTAGGACCCACAGGCAAATTCAGATAGGCTGATTATATCACATACTAATCTTTCTCTGAATTTCAATGGCAGCTAGAAGGAGGAACTCCCCATCAGAATCACAGCAGACTTCTCAGCACAAACCATCAAGGCAAGAAGAGCTTGGAGTGACATATTCCAAGCCCTAAAAGAAAACAGCCTCCAACCCAGATTGATGTACCCTGCAAAACTATCTTTCAAAATTGATGGAGAAATAAGATACTTTCATGACAAAGAGTACCTTAGGAACGTCGTGACTACCAAACCAGCACTCCAAAGAATTTTACACAATATCCTAGGAACAGACATTGAGGATCACAACCCCAGGAAGCAAAGCAGAATGAACCCATCTGGCATTACAAATTAAACGCAAAGGGGGAGAACCCAACAAAAAGAAAAGGTCATGGCAATGACAAGTCAATATGTTTCAGTTATAACCATCAATGTTAATGGTCTCAATTCACCAATCAAAAGAAACAGACTGGCAGAATGGGTCAAGAAGCAAAATCCAACAATAGGCTGCATACAAGAAACACACTTAATTCAAAAGGAAACTCATAGACTCAAAGTTAAAGGGTAGAAGGAGGAACTCTGTAGCCTACTTTTATGTATCTAATTTAATCATGCTAAGGGCACTGAGCCTGTGCAGCTCAACAAAGTGTGTGCTAGATAGTAGGGTCCCAAAGCAATGAAGACAGACTCCTTAAAGAATTTCAAGTAATCTACTTTTTCTAAGAAAGAAATCTAGTGTAGTAGGACCTCTGTCACTTTTACCACCGAGTGAGATAATAAACTCTTTAAGAGTTTATTCTCATTTCTTCATTTATCATATAGGGCCAATAATTTCTAATTAGCAAGCTATGAGCTTTTTTTTTTGTATTTTTTTTCTTAAATTCTTTTATTGGTACATTGTAGGTATACAACACAATTACATTTCTCATTGGGAATTGTACCTTTACATAATGCATCTTCGTTCTTATTTATTCCCAATTCCTAGCCCTCCTTTCACCCCCTCCACCCTTCCATATTTACAAAGACTTTATTTCCATTTTTTCCATTTCTCATCATTTTTCCTTTCCCTTCTTTCCTTTCCCCTGCCCCTCCCACTACCCCTACCCTGTTGGACCTTTTCTTCCTATTTTTCATTATCAATTATTCATTCTGATCATTGGTACATTTTAGGTATACAATATAATGACATTCATCATTGGAAATTTGCACCTTTACATAGTCTCTCTTGGTTCTTATTTTTCACCCTTGCCCAGCCCTCCCTTCAACCCCTCCAGTCCTATTTACAAAGATTTTGTTCCTATTTTTCCATTTTCTCATATTAATTCCATTCCCTTCTTTCCTTTCCCCTAGGCCTCCCACTTCCTTCCCCTTTGCCCCTTTTCTTCCTATTTCACATTACCTATCATACATTTAGTCCTTATTTACACTTTCAGTTTCTCACACCAGAGAAACTATTCGGTATTTACACGTGTGTCCTATTTATTTCACGTAAGAGCTATGAACTTTTATTAAATCAAGTGCCTGACACCTGATAGGCACCTGAGAATTGTGAGTTTCCTCTCTGCATTCACATTTCTCTTCCTTGTTGGATGGGTTTTTTGGTTTTTTTCCCCCCAAACTTGAAATCCTCCTGCCTCAGCCTCCTAGGTAGGTGAGATTATAAGCATGTGGCACCATGACTGGCTTGGGTGGGTTTATTTTATTTTATTTTTTTGCTGTACCAGGGATCAAACTCAGGACCTTGTGCTTGTAAGGCAGGGATGGCGCCACTGAGCTAAATCCCCAGCCTTGTTTTGTCTCAGTATGTAGTTCAGGCTGGCCTTGAACTATGTAGCCCAGGGTGGCCCCGAACTCACAAAGATCCTCCTGCCTCAGCCTTCCAAGTGCTAGGATTACAGGCGTGCACCACCACATCTGGCATTTGGGTGAGTTTTAATGGGAAAATTATGCTGGAGAGACTTTATGAAACTATTTGCTTTTGAGAATCTGTTTTTATGACATGAGACTATTGCTCCCCCATCCTCTTTTATACTGCTACATTGTTTCATATTGTATTTTTATCATTTTTACACTGCACTGAATTAAAGACAAGTTTTGACAAACACTAAGGAATGAGAGGTCTGGGAATAGCTAAAAAGAATAATGTGAGCCAGATGTGGCACATGTCTGTGATTGTGAGTTCAAGGCCAGTCTGGGCTACATAACAAAACCCTGTCTCAAAAAAACAAAAAAGAATAATGTTGGCAAAGAAGATCATGAACAGTACAGATGTAATGATTTTCCTCTACTACTTTCATGGGGGATTAGACTGCTGAAGCAGCTGGCACAAGAGGGAGGGTATGGTAGAAGAGGAGAGGACAACTGCTAAGGAATGAGCAGAACCCCCAGTTCAACAAAAAATGAGCACCCAAGGCTGCTCCTACAAGGCCATACCTGTGCAACCGGTACAAGGACAAAGAGAATAACCATATGGTGTGTGATCATAAGGCGGTTTTGACTCAGGAAATTTCGAAAAACGAAGGAGTGTCCAGGATTCTGCTCTTTGATTCGGCACCAATCACAGAGGTACATAGCATAGCAGTCATAGACCATGTACGGAATCAAAAACCAGACATATTCTCGGGCAAGCCAGTGCCTGAAATAAAGCACATGGATGATCTGTGAAATAATTACTGATGTCAATTATGAAGGGTAAAAGTCAATCTCTTCTCAAACATGTTCTCTTTACCTTTGTACTTAACCAGTTATTATTCCAAATACTTTATAATGAAGATGCTGAAACTGATAAGGAAAGTGGACAACTTTTTCTGAATTACCAGGCAAATTCATGAGTGTCAAAGGCAAACAGTAAGAATTCACTCAGTGCCAAGTGTTTTAAGTAGCTTGCTATTACTATTTGCCTGATTGAGCTACTCATCTATAATGCAGCTAAATCTGGCATTTTGTGATATTAAGGTGACTTTGACATAGATAAATTTACAGATTATTCAACAGCCCCACCAAGAAACTGGTTTAGAAGGTGTTCCCAATCACAAATCCAAACTTTCTAGTTTAACTCCTTAGTTGCTCAATAGTAGGGAGTTTACTAACTTAAACCCCTGAACCTCTGAGCTTTCTCTTGCATCTATACATTACCCCACTCTAGGGAGACTGGGAAGCAACCCTGGCTAATCCCACTTCTACTCATTAAGAAAAGTAGGTCTAGAAATGAGCCTGAGGCTCAAAAACTATATTATAGCAGTTAGATATGAGGAGAGGGGAGTTTGGGACAAACATCAGTATTGCCATTTACTTGTCCAATACAACTGCATCAATATTTGCTTAGTAAAAATGGTAGTTTATTGCCTTCCTAGAGTAGATTAGAAGGAAAATCTCCACAATTAATACAATGTTGTTACCAATGATAAATAGCTTCTATAAAAATTTTATGTAAAAAAATCCATCTAAGTTGAAATTATGTACCATGCTAGGAAAGGTTACATTCATTCACTCAGCATGTTTTTGCTTTTTGAATATCCATGTGATAGGTATAGGAAACTAATTTTATGATTCTCAAACTACCTAATCAGCAGGATCATCTGCATCAGAATCAACCACTCGTTAAAGGGATCCATTCCCAGAGACTCTAAATTGTACATCTCAGACCTCTAATCTGGGAATAAACTGTACAGAGGGTTCTATGTAAATTTCAGTTCCTGAATAGCTAACTCCACACTTACCACAGCACAACTAATGAATAAGCAATGAAATAGAGGCAGACAAGCAATTCGGGCAAATATAATACTTATAGGTGCATTAATTAGCCAGATTCCATCTGGACAAAAAGACGCAATACTCATTCCCCTGCCTGTCAGTGGTCTCAGTTGCTTACTTAAAGCAATTCCAAATTAAAAAACTAGAAAGAAGTACAGAAAGCTTGGCTGAAAAACAGACCTCTCCCCTTGAATGGAACCTAGGGTTTAATATTTTGCACCTAGAACTAATTCAATAAGATCTGAAAACACGTCTTAGGTAGAATTCTCTGAAAATGTATTTGCAAGAGATCTACATTATAATCTCAACTACCACTAGCCTGTGACTTAACTTTCTTTGTAAAATGAAGATGATAACCCTTGTCTTACTCTACTTCCCAGATGGAGTCATTGTGAAGGTTAAAAAATTGAAAGTGTGAAAATCTTTTTAAATACAAAAACCGTTATCCAAATGTAAATGGTTCAAGGCAGAAAACTGCCTAAAGCTGTAATTTAGCCTGTTTAGGGGTCTGGAGCCCTGTAAGAACCTGCTGAAATCCTTGGACCTATACTACATTTAGCCTAAGATTTGGGATTTATAGATACCCCCTCCTATAGACAGTCTATAGATAGGAGAATAAAATGAGAAGGTATATAGTAGAAAAATATTTGGTTGTGTAAGCATGTAGTCTGAGTCATGAAAGGCCTTTAAAATAATGATACAGGTGTTTTATCATATCTTTATGCACCCACACAGAGGTGGAGGAAAAAGAAATGTGTCTATTTCACAAACGGAATAGAATCCAAGGCATAATGATACATAAACGAAGAAATCTGAAAACCATATTCAGGTTTGCTGCCATGCTCAACCGCTAAAACACATTAGTTCTAAGAGGCAAACAATGATGGTAGGTGTTACAGAATCTAAGTTAATCGTGCATAGATATCTTTTCCTGAAATGCATAGTAGTTGCTTCCTGCTCACCTTCACCTTAACTCAAACTAGTGCAATGGTGCCACATTTATCTTAGCTTAAGCTTCTTTGCAAGGAAGCTGGTTTCAAGTTTGATCTGACAAACTGCAAGCAGTGAGAGAGCCTGCTACATGACCAGAAAATGGTCAATTAAAATAAAAACTGAACCCAGCCAAGCAAATGCTTTTTACCCTTGGTGTATGTAATTAAGTTCCCTTGGCCCATCTTCTCTTAGCATCTACAATTCACTGACAATAACTAATTTGTTTTTAAAAAGGTATAAGAATAAAAGCATGAAAATAATAACAGCAAGATCAAACCTGATTATGACTGCAAGCCACAGGGAGATAGACACCCCACTCAGGCTCTCCTGGCACCCCAGTCTCAACAGGTGAGAAGAAGGATGTGGCTGAATCAACATGAGAGGGGAATCAGGAACGGCTGGTCAACACAGCTGTCACTCTCCTACTTAACTGGGAGCAAGTGAGAGTGGGTCTAAGATGACAGGTGAAAAAAGCGGCTAAAAAAAGTGCTACCTCTGTCCATGTGTAAATATTAAAGAGAATATATCTTTCTGATCTTAAATGTATGATTTTTTTTTTACTGAAGCTGCAGACAGATGCTTATGTCCTGACCTGTCTCTACACTGAGCTGGAATACACATTCAAGTCAGTTTTCTGAAGGCATCTGAAAACTCATAACTTTTAGCAAATCCAAAGGGAAAACACAAAGGCAGCATCTGCAGGGAGGGAGTGGTCCTGTCAGTATTACATGTATCTGCTATCTCGGCTAAGGAATGGTCCAGACTGGGAACCGGTTCAGTGGGCTCTATAAAAGAACCAAAATCTGTACTCCTTTTCACACTTATAAAGAACTTGGAACAACAGACCACACTGCCTTCTAATACACCACCTTAAATCAGTCTCAGACTCTTGCTCTCTCCAGCGTTTCTTCACTTTCCTTTTTCCTAGGCTAGGGGTGCTGAAAGAAGCGAGAGGAGGAAGGCACTAATTATGGTGCTCCAAGTTTTCCCATTTAGTCTATCATCTACCTAACAGTATGTGCTGATAAAGAACTAGTGCCTGTGAGCCACTGCAAGGTGAAAACTTCGAAGTTCCTTAGCCCTGTCATTTGTACCTTTTTCACCTGGGACTGGATGTTACCTGTCTGAGACCACGTTGCTGCAGGAACGGATGATGATGATCCCTGCCCCGGTGGCCAGCACAGCCTGCACTGAAGAAACCACCCTAACGTTGGGCAGAGAAGGAAAATGAAAGAAAGCGCGTTCCATCCAGTACTGTGGACAGCACAAAGCCAAACTTGCAACCTGACTTTCCCCGCCAGGCGAAGGAAAATGGTAGTGCAGGCTGCAGGCTCCGAGACATGCACACAACCTTCCCTCCCCACCCGCACTCGTGGGGCAGCCCTCCACCCTCATCCCTCTGCCTCCACGCACATGGGCTCCGGGAAGTTCTGGCAAGCGCGATACAGAGGGCCAGGGACGCGAGGGAGGCAGCCCCCTCGCTTCCTGTCGCCCCCCTTTTCCGTCCTCAGCCCCGCGCAGGGGAGGGCAGCGCCCAGGCGCTGGGCAAGGGGCCCGGCCGCGCCCGGTACCTGGTGCCGACCATCACGCAGTCGTTGTAGCTCCATGCCGGCCGCCAGCGGCGCAGCGCCCAGGTGCTGAGCGAGAAGAGCCCCGGGAAGAACAGCGAGCCCCAGGCCAGCGTCAGCAGCATGGGTGCTCCGGGTCCGGCCGCCTCGTCGGGCGCCGCTCGGCGTGGCTTGGGTAGGCTCCGTGCGGCGCGGCTGCGGGCGCCGCTGCCCGTCCCTATTTCTAGCCTCCGCCTCCGCCTCCGCCTCCGCCCCCGGCCCGGCCCGGCCTGGCCCGGTGCTGCCCCGAGCCCTGCGCCGCTCCCCGCGTGACCAGGCTCTGCGGCTGCGATAGGCGCGAGCCGCCCGGAGGGGCGGGGTCTCACCGCCACCGCCCCTGGGCCTCGCAGCTTCCCTGGGCTCCCCGGGTCGTCCTCCGTGGGCGGCGCGAGTAGCTGCCCCAGCGGAGCTTGGAGCGCCCGAGTCGGTTCCGAGTGCGCGGACGCCGCGCCCCGCACCAGGCGGGGCCCGGCAGTGGCGGGAAGGGCCGAGGCGCTCGGGGCTTCTATTCCGTCACCGCGGACGCCTTCCCCTCCCCAGCCCCAGGCCAATGGGGCGGGTGAGGCGAAGGCAGAGAGAGCCAGGTAGGAGCTCGCGCTGGGGCCAGACCCCACCATGGAGGTGGGCGAGCCCTCGGGCCAGGCACTGCATCTCCCTGTGGGGAGAGCTACAGTGGGCTGGTGGGCTTGTGGCTGTCTGCCCGCCTGGCCTGTCTACTGAGCACTCTTGCTCTCGAATGCGGGTCTTGAATAACTGGCCTTTCTGCACTGCAGAAGTGGAAATCCCTGGGAAAGCATTAAACCCTGACCTGAGTGGGGCAGTTCTCTGTACTGCGATCCTGACTGTCTCTTGGCTTTTGCTCCACATACTGTCTAGAGTCTTGGTAACTATTTTGTTGTGGACGACTTGTCCTTATTAAAAAGTTCTTGGGCCAGATGCCCTGAACTTGAATGGAGTCTCATTTTTACTTAGTATGAATCCCATGGACCAGGGCCATAGTTTCAATATTATTTGCTTCTAACCTTGAAGAGAAGTTTTACTTTGCTTCGGTGTGTATCTTCCTTACCTAACGTGTGTGTGTGTTTAGAGTACCACTCATTCGTGCCTTCTACAATGGAAAGGCACTGTGGGTGTCTTCAAATCGCCAGTATGCAAAATGCTGACCCGTTCAAGGGCTTTGTCTGGAACACCTTACTCAGCCTCTCAGAACCACTATTTCGTCAACTGTGGAATGAGGAGGCTGAATTACAAACTCTTCGAGGCTCTTCCAGCTCTAAATTCTTACAATTCTATGGCCTCTGTAAAACAGCAGATAGCTTCTGCTAGATGCCAATAAATTACTTTAACATGGCAGTTACTGGTATGGAAATATAGAGAGTGAACAGAGCTTTTATTTGTTTCAACTTGTATGTAATTATTGAGTCTGAGAATGTTTATTAGGTTTAAAAGATAATTTTTCATCATCATCATTATTATTATTAATTAGGCTGTGATCTTTTTGGATGAAGACAGCTTTTAACATCTTCATACATGTTGCTAAGATGAGGGATTCAACCAACATTAAGGTAGCAGAAAGCCGAAAGAAAGTCTGAAATTTATCTACTTAGAGTGGCATCTTTTAACTCCCAAATTCACTAATATGGTGAAATGAAAACCATACTTCAGTTTGGTACCAAGGTGTCTGGCAAACAGGAGGCTTTCTGTATTTTCACATTTGCATGTAGACAAAGAACAGCTATCTGTAACTTTCCATTCTACCCAGAAAAGACATACCTTTCTTTGTTTTTTGGTGGGTTTTTTTTTTTTTTTTGGTACCGGGGATCGAACTCGGGTCCTTGCGCTTGCGCAGCGGGTAGCGAAACCACTGAGCTAAATCCCCGGCCCAAAAACATACCTTTCTGCATTTCACTTTCTCTTCCCCACCCAGATGTCCTGGTCACTAGCTCCAGTTTTTCTAGAGTGACAAGTGGTTACAAGTCCTTGCTGCCTTCCCTTAGGAATTAGCGATATGCACCAGGTATGTAAACACTTCTAAGTGGTGGGCATAAATCTATCTCCCGTACAAGAAGTTGTGGCCCAGGGATGCAGCTCAGCGACAGCTCCTAAGGTATCTTTAAGAAATGGAAACAAAATAACAGATGTTTCAGTATAGAAATAGTAAAACCAGTGTCTAACATCACACTCAATGAAGTCACCAGCATGTTTAGGTTGAATCATCACACAGCCAACAAGAATAAACATGAACCTTGGCTTTTCGACTATCAAACCCTTGTAGGCAAATGATAAAGCCAAATCAAAAGCACCAAGGGGTGGGAGGCATCAAGCCTAAAATACACACACACTTTATATGTCCTTCAAAGGGTTTTTTTGATTTGTGGGGTTTTAGTTTGTTTTGTTGGTTTTTTGAGACAGAGTCTTGCTATGTAGTTGGGTCTGGCCTTGAACTCACTGTGTAGCGCTGGCTGGTCTTGAACTCAGAGTACCCTCCCATGTCATTCTTCTGAGTGCTGGCTCAGGATTGCAGGCATGTGTCACCATGTTCAGCTTGAAGGAATTCATAAATGCCCAGTTTGGGAGGACTGGGTTCTTCTGCCCCCGAGATAACGTGATCCTAATTTTTGGTCCCCTCTTTCTCATTACTTTAGGCCCCATTCTGGATACTATTGGGGAACAGGATACAGGGACTCTCCCTATGTCTGTTCCCTGGTTCCCCACCCTTAAATTGAAAATATTATCATCTACTTGCTAAATATTTGAGAATTCTCCAGTGAATACCATTAGCTACATGATATGAGCTTCTAATTTTGATCAAAGACATTCTCTTCTTCCCTAGGAAAATGCTTCTAGAAGAAAAATAATTGAGATTCACATACAGATGTCTTCATATTGAGTTCCAGAACTGAAAGAGAAGTTGGAGGTCTCCATCCATTCATCTACTTCACACATCCCAACAGAGAAAATGAAGACCTCTTCTGAAATGAAAGTTGTTTTGCTCAGGACCACATTTCATTTCTGCACAAGGGACAGTTGAAACAGAAGCAGAACAGGAAAGAGGACAAAAAAGAAATGAAGTGATAGGAAGAGAAACTGAAAGATACAGCACAAGAAGAACATCCATCAGAAAGAGAACAGTATAGATTTAGTTACAGATAATGAAAGGGCCAAGAGCCACCCTCAGTCACAGGAGAGTAGACGTAGAGATACAGGTCCTGCAAGCGGCATTCACAAAAACAAACAGGAGGAAGGATGGAACACACAGGGAAAAGTGGAATGAGGCATACGAAAAGAAAGAAAACAACAGTCTTTCACGGGACAGTATCCCTTTTAGGCTAGCACCAAGAAAAGCCATATTGCATTTAAAGAAATGTGGCACAGCCAGGCATAGTGGTGCATGCTTGTAATCCCAGCTACTTAGGACTCTGAGGCAGGAGGATCACAAGTTCAGCCAGGCATGGTGGCACATACCTGTAATCCTAGCATTTGGGAGACTAGGAGGATCCTGCGAGTGTGAGGCCAGCCTGAACTACGTAACAAGACCCTGTCTCAAAAACACAAAACAGATAAGCAGAAAGTAAAACTTAAGTTTGAGGCCAGCCCGGACAATTTAGTGAGACTATCGCAACATTCTCCTCTCCCGCATTAAATGGGGAGGGGGGAAGAAGGTATGGTGATGAATGCCTGTAATCCCGGCACTCAGAAGGCTGAGGCAGGAGGATCATCTCAAGTTTGATGGTAGCCTGGGCTACATAGTTCAAGGCCAGCCTAAACTACATAGTAAGACCCTGTCTCAAAAAAACAACCAACCAAATTCTACACATACATACATACATAAAAAACGATTCCTCCACCTGCCTCACAGCATAGCTGGGAGAACTAGGTGAGAATATTTTTAAAAATATATATTAAGGCTGGGAATTTAGCTCAGTGGCACTGTGCCTGCCTTGCAAGTGTAACGTCCTGAGTTTAATCCCCCAGACCAAAAAAAATAAAAAATAAAAACATATTAAACTACATGCTGCACATAAACAGTAGATTGTTGTTCTTTATCTTGGGGTCCTTGAAGCACAGTTCCCTGCTGTTAAACTTCTTAGTAGTGTCTATTAGATTGAAGATGCCCTAGTCTACAGCTTCCTCAGTTTTATCCTGGACAGTTTGCAAAAGCAAGCTATGAGCCTGAAAAGCACAGTCACACCCCAAGCACATGGTTTCTGCAAACAGTGAGCACAGCTGCACACCGCAGGGAAGTCTGCTCTTGTACACAATGATAATGGTCCATGTCAACAAAAACCATAATTTACACAACTGATTATTCAGGACTTGCCTTTGTATTGCCTTACATTTTTCAAAGTGCTTTCTGTACACATTTCTTTTGGGAATAAATGCAGAAGTCAGCTTGTTTGCAGAATCACACCTAAAAGCAAGCATTTCTAAACTCAGGTTTAAAAAATATTCAAGGACAACAAATCATTAAGATAATTACATTTGAAATGAGTTAAACAACAAATACTTGTAAACAATTTCAGCTGCCTTCCTAAATTATTAGACCAATATTTTTGTTTTTGTTTTGTTTTTTGGTACTGGGGATCAAATGTGGGACCTTGCAGTTTTGATGCAGGCAGCGTCACCACTGAGCTAAATCCCAGCCCCTAGACTGATATTTTTCAGGATGTTCATATCTCATAAATAATTCCATAAAAGACTTATTTTGCTTTCTCAAGTCCTATGACTTTTTTTTGGTTTTCTGACCATAAAAAATATATTAGAAAGTAAAATATGGCAACTATGGAAAACAATAATCACAAATAATACTCTCACTGAGAGATATTATTGTTACCATTTTCTAAAAAATTTTTAATTTTATTGGTACATTTCAGGTATACAATATAATGACATTCATCATTGGAAATTTGCCCTTTTACATAATCTCTCGGTTCTTATTTTTTTCCCATTCCCCTGTCCTCCCTTCAACCCCTCCATCCCTCCCTATTTACAAAGACTTTGTTTCTATTTTTTCATTTTCTCATATTAATTCCATTCTATTCTTTCCTTTCCCCTACCCCTCCCACTTCCCCTTCCCCTTTGCCCCTTTTCTTCCTATTTCA